TCTTTCCCGACCTGCTGCCCGCTCCCCCTCATAGCACTGAACGTGTGTCATTGCTGATGCACGGGCTCTGAACTGAAACTTTGGTAAGGGTTTGGACCCAGGTGTGTTCTTATGTGGCCTGCTATAGCCACATACAGCCAGAAGATGGCGATCTGGTGCAGCAAGACAATCTAGAAAGAATCTGCGCCCACTAGACGCAGACCTGTTTGGTTTCCAGCCCCAGCCCAGCCCCTTACTGCAATTGCTGGCAGGGAGGCACCAACCCTCCTCCGGAGAACTACCCTGGTTGGAGGCTCTCTCTGATCTCTGTGGTCCCACCTGCTCTCTCTTGCACCTTCAGAATCAGAGCAGACCCTTTGATGCCTGGAACAGGATCTCACAGTGGGGTCTAAAAAGCCATCTGAACGCAGTCCCTTGTTGGGGGGAAGCTTGTTAGTGTAGATTTTAGGCCCCACTCAGACCCTCTGATTCCAACCCCGGACATTGGAGGCACAGTAAATGTACCTGGATGGATTCTTTTTATTTTTTACTTTTTTTATTTTTATGTTTTGGAGAGGTTTTTGCTATAGGGCGCGTGCGCTCGCCAGACAGAGACAGACAAAGCGAGAAATCACCCCCCAGGGGAAATGGCCACGCCGCAATCCGTTCTGCTCCGTTCTCCTCTTGGGATCTCCAAAAAAAAAAAAGTAAAGAAGTTGATAGTCTTTTTTTTTAAAAAAAATATTTAATTCTATTTGTTATTATCATTCTAAATTTTTTTTTTTTTTGGGAGAGATTTTCACTGTAGGGCGCGTGCGCTCGCCAGACAGACAGAGAGACATAGAGACAGAAAGTGAGAAATCAGGATGGTCACGCCGCAATCCCTTCTCCTCCATTCTCCTCTTGGGATCTTGGGCACGCACGCACACGCGCCCGGCGTAAGTTTTAAGCCACCGGGTCCGGGACACGAACCGCGGTCGACCATGTTGGAGTCCAGCGACATAGCCATTACACTAACTGCTGGTTCCCTATCATTCTAAACTTTTGACCAGAGAGAGAAAGGGAAAGCGAGAAAGCCAGCCTCCAGGTCCAGGACTTGAACCATGGTCAGCCATGTGGGAATCCAGTGCTCTTAACCACCACGCCACCTGCCAGCCCCCCCTCTGTGTTTTTCAAACCTCTGGGACTCAAACCGCATAATCCACCATGTGGGAGCCAGCTGTCTTAATCTACTCCCCTGGCGTCGCTTATTGACTTATAACTGGCCTATTTCACAGAACGTTACGTCTCCAGCCACACCACCTGACTGGCCCCAGGTGGGTTATGAACTGCTGTGCCTCACTTTCTCCGTCTGTAAAGTGGGGATCATGGTAATGCCTACAGTATGGTGCCCTGCACACAGTAAGTGCTGGTGAGTACTTGCTGTTAGGAACGATGTCCACTTTGAGAACCCCGCGAATCTGAACCTTAATGCCTTAGGAGACTTGAAGGTTACCCTCAAGATTAAGGATGCTCCTGTCCCGAGACTGAAAGGTCTTTTGGCAGAGGCCAGAGCTGAGCCTAAACCCAGGCAGAAATTTTAGCGTCTGATGAAAAATAGTAAGATAAAAAGGACGAGTCAATATTTATTGATTTAGAAGAGGTTCTATAAGTACAGTTAAATTATTCTTGTGTAGAAAAGCTATTTCTTTTATAATCTGCTTAGAAAGGCAGGGGTACCTAAGCCGTGACCGTATTTGCTAAGAGTGTTTCATGCTGATGTCGAAGTCGACACTCGTCGAAGTTATTTGTATTTCTCACACCACTTTCTGTCTTGGATGCAGATGTAGAAAGAAATTCCAGCAAAACGCACAATGTGTGAACAAAAGAAGAAAACAATGTACGAGTTTAACTTCCCGTCTTCCAACATTCTGTGCAGCTGTAACAACTGGTTCTAAAAATGTTAAATGTAAAAGCTTCACCCTAAAAAGAAATCGGGAAAACATGAATAATTAAATACTTTCTTTGTCTTTTTTTTTTTTTTTGCCATAGACACTTGTGCTTGCTGGGGGGGAGAGAGAGAGACAGAAACAGGGAAAGCGAGAAGTCACCCCCCATTCCCGGGGGATGGCCACCTTGCAATCCCACCTCTGTTCTCCTCTCAGGATTTGGGGCACGCATGTACATGTGCCTGGCTTGTTATTTCAAGCTGCCAGGTCTGGGGCTCGAAACATGGAGTTGGCCAAATGAGATCCAGAGCCTTAACCCCCATGGCATCAGCTGGGCCTAAATGTTTTCTTTAATCTTTGTATTTATCCCCTGGGGAGAGAATCCTGTATTTTGGGATGTGGGTCCTGCTCAAGTATGTCTCTGGAGTCCAGCACTCACACAGGCCCTTGGACATTGTTGGGGGTTCTTGGACCCTGAGCACTGACCTCATGTCTCACTAGCTCCTCTGTCTCATCAACGGCTGATCTGGGCTCCTTCCCCCTTTCCCCACCAACCCACTCTTTCTTAATACTATAAATTTTTAAAAGAATTATTTTATTTAACTTTACTTATTTATTTATTTAAATTTGACCAGAGAGGGACAGAGAGAAAGTGAGAAAGCAAGTCGCCAGGTCTGAGACTTGAACCATAGTTGGCCATGTGAGTCCAGTGCCCTTAACCACCATGCCACCCGCCAGCCCCAATACTATCATTATTTTAAAATTTGCTACAGGGCATGTGTACTTACCGAGAGAAAGTTAGATAACAAGCCACCAGATCTGGGACTCGAACCGTGGTTGGCCATGTGGGAGACCAGTGCCTTAACTACTATGCCACCTGGTCCTACCCTGTTTGTTTTTCAAGCCAGTGGGCCCAGAACTGGAACTGCAGTTAGCTGTAGAAGTCCTGCCGCCTCAACCACCGCACCACCAGCAGCCCAAGCTTCACTCTTGTCACGGCAAAGGCCTCAGATTACAGGCAGCTGTGGTGCGACACCACTCTGAGGTGAGAGGCTTCCATATGGCGTGCATGCGAGCGTGCTGCGGGATCTCAAGGAAGCACAGGCTGGCTCTGCCGGGCATCTCATCGCTCTTCCTGACCACACTCCCAACCTGCAGTTGAGGATTAACTCTTGAGAAATGCAGGTGCCTGAGTCTCCAGGAAACGCTCCAGTTGCTCATCCAGTGCCCCCAGCTTGGTGGCTGTCACAGGAGGAAGAGAAGCTGGGACGTGGAGCCTGACACCAGACTGGGAAGCAAGGCTGAGAGTGTGGGGGAGGCCTAGCCTGGCCCCCGTGTGTCCCTCCCCTCTGGCCTGCCTTCTCATAGGATCCTCCTGG